TTGCACAGTTAGAAACTTTAAGAAAGCTCTTCTCTCTGCCTTGTGGTTTCCTGCCTCTGTAAAATTCTCCAAGCCCTGAAGGGCCTATGCTCTATTTCTGCACCTGTATCTTCATTTCTGCTATAAAACTTAAACAAAAGCCTCAGGTAAGGATGCTAATATTGAAGCACAAATATGTGATGCGGATAAACACACGTTACTCCCAACTATTTATTGCCATGCTTGAATGCTTACCTCTGTTTCAGATATAGAACTACAGCAGGAGCACCAAGAATCTGTCTCCAACCGGGAGGATTTTTGTTGTCTTTCCCATCATACAGTGCAGCTACATTGAACCTGGGAAACAAGAAAATAAGAATTAAGGTATTAGGTATACTAGCACATGTTCACACTTACTGCACATTTTCATTTGCATGTTTGATAAAGGGCATGCAGAATACTGCATAGTGAGGCAAGCCACCTGTTGTGTACAGTGCCCTGGGGGAAGGTTATACAGTTGGGTTAAGGTAGATGGAAAAAATCTCATCCTCACTGTTTGGGCTTGCTCTTAGGGTTGAAATGTGCCTGACTCCTGGGTCCTTGCTCTGGCTGAAGAAACCCTGTATCTGCCTCTCTACAAATAGACTGCACTTCTGTTTCTTTCCCATACATCACATCTAGTGCTGGAATTTAACAGGATATGCAAGAAGGACACAGGATTACTGAGAGTACATGTGGAGCAACCAGAAAGAGGGAAGCTCTTGGCCATCCTGTCCTAATTCAGAGAGAGAGAATTGGGCAGATGGGGAGTTAACATGCACCTAGATGCTGGAACACAGGGACAGAGTGTTTGTTGGGAGATAAATTAATAATAACAAAACCAGGAAGTTTTGTCCCATTATATGTGTGTGTGTATCAATTTCAGTTAAGTGTCATGCATTTATTTTGCTTTGACCTCTAGTTACTGTGAAACACAGTCCACACAGGACATGGACTGATGGACATTTTCTGACCTTGCAGAAAGAGCTGTGCAAAACCAAAGGGAGAGATGAGAGACGAGGGCCTGATCTTCCTCTTATCTAACAGTGTGACTCCAAGAACCATGGGGAAGTCAGTGGTGTTGGAGCAGCATAAGACCAGATGCTAAAGGATTTTCTTCTGGGAGCGGTTTCCAGAAATTCGAAAGGATTCAGACACAGTGGAGAGATTGAAGTTTAAGGTTAACCCAGGCAAGAATTGGTCTTCCTGCTTACTGGTATGCCTGAGTCGGAAATGACATATGCTGAACTGGGAGCAAAGTCCTGTAATAAATAACTGTGCTTCAGTCATTTCCTCCTCTATGCAGCAGAGAACTGGCACTTGGTGAGGGATCCCTTAATGGCACCAGTGCCAGTTTCACCTTCCTTTTCCTTCTTACTCCAATGCTTATGAAAAAGAGCGAACTAAGCTGCAGAAGCCAGACAGTGAAGATTTCTTCTGGAGAGGTAATTTCTTATCCTATGGGGTGCAATTAGGTTTACGGTGCTGCATTACTTTGGAAAGAAAAGCAACAGAGAGAGCCAGGCGTTGTCAGAGAGCGGACATTCAAGGAGGTGGGGGCTTAGCCACGTATGACTTAACTGGGAATAAGCATTTTAAATGTTGAAACTGTGCATCCTGGGATTATATGGGATCTCCTCCCTACTTGTCCATTCTTGGCTGCTATCATAGACTGGATCCAGAGCTAGCTATACCTTTCATGTGACCCAGTATGGCTGTGCTTCGTGTTTGCATGTACCGCTCCCTCTGGGTAGACATTTCTGCTCTGTTGCAGTATTCTGGTTTCTGGCGTGGGTGAAAAAGTATCTGTTAGTTGTGCGTCACTGTGGCTGACTGTGGCCCATCTTTGGCCTACGTTTGCTAAGTACCATGCTTCTGTACCATCTTGCATGGCTCATAGTAACAGGTCATCACATTATTGAAGTTAATAGGCAGATCCAGTTCCTGAGTCCTGAATAAGAACATGAGGACCTCGCCATAAGGATAACTGATTATGAAAGACAGAAGTTCCTTCTTGAGAGAGTATAAAAAACCAAAAGAAAAAAAACCAAGCAGCCAGAAAGAGCACATTCATCTTTTGTTGCTAAATTTTCATAGATGTTGTGCTACAAAATTGAGAATTACAGATGAGCTCTGGAGGTTGTCTTAGTCTCACAGGGAAAATCAATTCTTGATTTTTGGGGGGACAGCCCTTGTAGTTTCTCCATGTGCCAGCTTTTGTTATTAAGTGTGACATTCCACTTCTTTTCTTGTCATTGGGTCACCTATGTGAAAATTACATTTAAAATTCCTAATTTAAAATGTGTGTTAGCATTGGACTTCTACATCAGCAGTCTATCATCTCTTGAAGTTTCTGTTTATTTTTCACTTTGAGAGCACAATACATTTTGTAACTTTGATAATTAGTTATTTTCAGCATGTCTTATGATAACTTCAAAGTGGTAAATCTGGGCTGGCTTAGAAACCCTGTTCAACCCATGCTACTGTATAGCCCTTTAGAGCCACAAATAGGGCACAAAGATCATGTAGCTTGTCAAGCACTTCCGACTTTCCATTTTGCTGTCCTCCTTACAGTTAAGACATTGGTGTAACCCACAACAGTGGCAGTTATCTTGCATACAGGAGTATAATTGCTCCTTCCGTTTAGTATGAAGAAAAGGTTGTTTAGGCACCCATCGATTTAAATAAGACCATGATTTATAGACGCTATTTATACCTTTCCAAATAACATAGGTAAAAAAAGTGGGCAGCTATAGGAAAGCAAGTGATAAAATGAGCCCTAATTCTCTCACTGCAATGCTTTTAACATTGAAGTTTATTAAAACAAGAGGGAGAAAACAATGGTAACTCTGAACTTCACCTTGAGGGGTTTTTTAACGGTAATCTTCATTTTTCAAGAGCATGAATTTCCAAAAATAAAGCAGTGACTTGAAACACTTTTCTGATAATTTAGGTGCTAAGATCTAAACCTCAGAAACTTGTCTAGCTCCACCATACAAGGAAGATAAATCATAAAATGATTTAAATGATTCAATCAGAAAAGTAATGAAATCTGGGTACCTCTCAAAAACATATACCATCCATATTACACAGAATTGTAAATAGTTATCAAAAATTTTAAACATAAACTTTTATTCATGATAGAAGAAATCTCAAGGAGTTCAGTGAAATTATTGATGAAGTATCCCATTAATCACTAATATTAATGGTACTGCAAACTGAGATTTTGATGATTATCTGTATAGCACAGGTAGAAGATGGAACTTCCGAGTCAGTTAATTTCTAGTTTTCTTGTTTTGCTCAAACTTTCCAGAGAACTTGTCCAAAACCTAGGCAAGCATGATTTAGGGCCAGAATAACTTCTGAAAAGAAAAGGCTATGACACAACAAGAAATTTAGAGTTGAGTGCCAAGATAAAACCGGAACAGATGTTTCTCTTCTTCACGGGGGATGTTCAGAGTGCTTATGGACTTGCCTGGAATAAGTGCCAAAGATCATTTTCTGGTCCTGTAGTGTCCACTCATCTTGTAAAGTGGTTTCCAAGTGGTTTGCCGTCAAACAGAAGGGATGCAGATGCTTCAATATGTCCTCACTGAGCATGAGTTGTAGAATGTGTTTGAGAGAAAATGCTAAGAAAACGTCGTTGGTAATAGATCATAAAAGGGTAAAAGTAGAATTAATTTTTGGTACAAGGTTAGCATTTATTTTATGGAGCATTTTGCTTATTGCAAGCATTTCAATCTTCTTATCAACTCTGATCTGAACCTATTTTACTGGAACAATGGATGGACAGAGACATCTTTTAGAGAAATGGAGGAAGCAGAAAGGGTCATATAGCTGTTAGAAGTTTGTGACTATGAGGATGTGGAGACCTGGGCTAATAACTGATGTCTGCTGCACACAGCAGCTACTGAATCACAGGTTACTCAACAGCCTTAGCGTGCAGGGATCACTTCCGCTAGCAGGAAGAGATAACAGGGAAAAAAACCCTGTCTGGAACTCTGGAAACATTTAAAGGGAAACATTTAAAGGGAACTTAGCAAAGAGTCTTTGCCTGCGATTTCCCACATACAGTAAAAGACATATAGCAGCCTTCCTGCTGTAGCAAGAGTGGGAGCCAGCAAATCACACCTAGTCCTGGAATCACTCCCAAAATCCAGCTGCAGTAGCCTATGGGACAGGAAGCGGCTTCTGAAGACTTTGGTCCCTTACCTGTTCCAAGGATCACAGTCTAAACAGCATCATCCCTTAATCAAAGCACTGGTGTAGACTTCTGGCCACCAATCTTTTCACTGTTATGTTCTTGATTGTGAACTCCTAATTTTATTGTGGTTCCCTCCAGTTCCTTATTTTGCTGCTCACGGTTTCATTGCAATGCTTCCCAATCCAGTCAAGGAAAGTGAACTCTAAACCTCAGTTTCTGTATGGGGGTAGGTTCTAGCTGTGAGGGTCTGAGGGAACTGAGCAGCTTGGGAAAGTATAAACTAAATCTGTGTCACTGGGCTAGTCACTCATAGGAACTGAACTGCTGGGTCAATGGACTCTGTTGTGCATTGAATTATATTGCATTGTGGGGTCTTTTTATCTGTAAGCCAAACTTGAAGTTCAGCCAATAAATGTGCCTAGCATTTGAGTGACGGAACTATTTGGTATGAAAATGCGCACAGTGACCTCTTCAGGGTTGAGGACATCTCCAGGGTTATGTGGTAGAACTCAGAGCAGACCACCACCCCAATGCTGCAGGTTCTTTGCTTTGGGTAGATGGTTTCATTGTTTCTACATTGGGTGTAGCTTATTATGATCTCTTCCACTTTAACAAAATCCATAAACAGAATTATTTTAAGGCATTTTGCTGTTATTTTTTACAAGGAAACATCTCAACAAAACCCCACTGTCTGTTCTGATCAAATCCTGAGCCCTTTTCTGGCCTAATGTTATGTTCTTCTTGGCACTGCAGGTTACATACAGTGATCTGAAACATAATGGTAGTTTTCAGAAAGGTAAGTTCTATTCTTTGCTGTGACTTACTGATGAGCCTGAGGCCCAAAGAGGAGAAAATTACCTTAACACCATGGGTCAACTCAAAAAGAAAGTAGCAATAACCCAGTATCAACAAGGTATAAATATCAACCTAGACTAGAGATGCGGAGGTGTCTTGCCTAGCCTGGCTGTGCACATGCTGAGCTCGTGACCTCTGTCACAAGGTGTGGCACTGAAACTGTACATATTACCTCTGGAGTTTTATTCAACACAAATGAGAGCTGTTAGTCTGTAACATTCTTCAGAACCTTGTGCAACGTTTATAGATGCTGTACACTACAGTTGTTTGGTTTTAAATGTAAGCCCATAAAGTATTTTGAGAGAAAAAAAGAAATGTTTCCCGTAAAAACCTTGAAACTTTGACAGTAAATGTTACAGTATGCAACAAAAGTTGTATATGACAAGACACTCAGCTAGAAAGCCAGTTCATACCCCCTGAAGATCTGACCTACAGCTTTGTTCAGTTTTCATTCCAGCCATTACATAAAGCTTTCTGTTAGAAACTGTTAGTGCCAGGCGCAAGAGAAGGTATTCCCGGGGGCTTGGAGTAGGGGAGTATAACCAGGACAGTAGCGGAGGCGACACCAAGATGCTGCTCATTCGTAGGAAAGGGCAGCCGTAGCTCACACCCTCATCCATGAGAGCAGAGCGGCTCTTGCTTGCTTGCCCTGCAGAGAGGCAGGATGTTGCCATGCATCTACGAATGTGAAGAGAAGAGCTGGGCTGAGTAAAGTATACTTGTTTTTTCCTGAAGAGAGATCATGGATGCACTCACATTTCTAAGTGATTTCAGCTATAGCAGAAAGAAGATATATATCTAAAAACTCTTCCAACACAGCCCTCTACAATTCCAGATATCTAGTCTGTACATCTGTTTGTTTGTTTGTTTTTCTTTTTCCTGGTAATGTCTATTTTTCAAGCATCTCTTCTGAAAGAATACCATAGCTAATGTGAGGCTGCCAAGGCACTCTGCCAGCATTCACTGTGCCCCCCCCAATCTCTAGGAGGTAGTGGAGCTGAGTAATTGCTGTCCATGTAAAAGGCGTTGCTTCATTTCCTCTTGTGAGTCAGCTGGGTTTCATGACTTGTCCAAAGTCATGTTGCAGGTCAGCTGTGCAGCTGGGAGTAGAATTCAGAGGTCCCGATACTATAACCATTAGACTTTACTGCCTACGAGCAGTAAGAACTCATCCAGTTAAACTCTGCTAAAGAAATCAAATCACTAAAAAATTAAGACCAAGAGATCTATGCCTGTGAGCTACATGGCATCAAGTATGTCACTGTACTTGACGATAGCTTTTCTTCTCCCCAGGGTGATCATGTGTGGCTGGACACTCAACCAAACAGTGAATTTAATGTCCCTATCGGGGCAGTTGTGAAGGACTCTGACTCAGGACGGATCTTGCTGGAGGATGATGAAGGCAAGGTGGGCTACGCTGTAACTTTCTATAAAAGATGGACATAAAGTTTAAAAGTACTAAGTACAAAAGAATGGCCCTCTTGGGTCAGACCAAAGCTCCATCTAGCCAAATGGTCTGCCTTTGATAATGTCTGGTAGGATATACTGAAAGAAAAAATATAAAAATAAGGCAAGTATAGGGTGATACCCTAGTATCCCCAGGTCCCAGCACTATGAAGATTTAGAACTTCCTGAACTAGAGGTTATATCTAGGTTGCCCAGAGAAGGTGTGGATGCCCCATCCCTGGAAGTGTTCAAGGCCAGGCTGGATGGGGCTTTGAGCAACCTGGTCTGGTGGAAGGTGTCCCTGCCTGTGGCAGGGGGGTTGGAACGAGATGATCTTTAAGGTCCCTTCCAACCAAACTGTTTTGTGATTCTATGGTCTACGTAGTTACGAAAAGGAAATGGACAGGCTCCAGTCCCTAAATTTGGTGGAGCTTTAGGTGAAATCATGATCCCACTAAAGTCAGTTGGGGTTTCATCCCTTCCTCATACAATGTTGTGGCTGTGATGACCTGACAGAGCTGCGCTCTGAACAATGCTAAATTTGGTGATGTCCAGAACACACTTGAATGGCTTCATCCAGTGTTTTGAACCACCTGGTCCTGGGGAGCAGCAAACCAGTTAATTTCTGTAGTTCAGTCAACTGTTTGTTAGAACATGCTTGTTTGAGCACGGATTATACTGAAGCTTGCTCTGGTCTAACATGGCTCTCCTTTGTTTGCCTCTGAGCAACGGCATAACACACTGAAGCTGATGCCTTGCCTTTTTCAGGAACACTGGATCACAGCTCGGAACATGCACATGGTGCGCCTGATGCACCCCTCCTCTGTCCAGGGGGTGGAAGACATGATCTGCCTGGGGGATCTCCATGAAGCAGGCATGGTGCACAACCTCCTCATCCGCCACCAGGAGCACAAAATCTATGTGAGTGCCAAAGTCACCAGGCATAGTACTTTCAGGAACGACCTCTACTACACATTTAGCAGAGTGACCTGAGCAGCCTGCAGGCCTTTCATACATGGGGCCCTCTGCTTCCTTCACTGATTGACGGTGCCAAGGAAATACAACATAGTTTTTCTCTTCTTTCTTTCAAGTACTTCAGCTGTGAAGAAGAGAGCTGATAGCAGTCTCTGAAATCAGACAGATATGCATAGATAGTGACCCTGCTTACTTTCTCCTAGAGGGATAATTTCCACCAGTGACTGACAGTTAGCTAAAACCAGCCCATGTCACAGCTTAGTGCTGCTATTACCTGCAGCTGTGACACAGGATCAATCTAACTAGTACCCAGTGACACGATTTGGATTGTCCTCCAGTCCAAGTCAATGTTTACTTGATTTTGATGTAATAAAATAGATAAAGAATAAATCTGGATTTTTTTCTGGTTTCATTTCTTGTAAGTTACAGGTTTTATCTGTGACTGAGCAATTTGGCACTTTTAGTTTCTTTGTTCCTTAGTTCCCAGTTTGTAATATGATAATAATATCCAGGTTTTTCCATGCTTTGCCTCCCACGTTATATACACTATAGGAGAGGAGCTGCCTCTTACAGCACAGATGTGATGTTTAGTATAAACGAGGACTGATTTTATAGATGCTGCAGGTATAACTACCAAGATGTGTGTACAGACCTGATATATTAGACTCTAGCAGTCTGCAGTTGTCTTATGTAGAAGTTCTTGAACAATATTATTGCCTTGCATTTCCCACGGCCTTCAGCAGCCTCCTTCATTTCATTTCAATGGTGCTGCTGTTTACAAATATTACTAAATGACTGTATGAATAACACAACCGTAACTTTGCCCATTAGCAAGGTTCAGCTACATCTGCACTAGAACAGAGAAGCAACTTAACAAAACAGTTCAAAAGAGCTTATGATAACAGACAAAAATGCCAAGTCAAATTGGACTTTCTTGTGCTTTAGCTTGAAACAGTGAACTAAGCTATGATTTGGCAAGGAGATTACAGCTAGCATTCTTCCTTTTGCAAAAACCTCCACATCTTGGGATATATAATAGCAGCTTATAGTGAGGAACCAGGCTCTCGGCCTCACCTAAGTGCTGCTATGGATCTCCCAGGCTTCCCTCCTGCCTCTGTTTAGATTTATACTGCAAGTGGCTTTGGTTGTATTCTTGTTTGCAGGTTTGCTGCTAGAAGTAACGCTCATAACTGTTTTCCAGACTTACACAGGATCAATCTTGGTAGCAGTGAATCCATACCAGCTGCTGCCCCTCTACACAGTTGATCAGATCAGACTGTACTGTAACAAGAGGATTGGAGAGCTACCACCTCATGTGTTCGCCATTGCAGACAACTGTTATTTTAATATGAAGAGGAATAAGAGAGACCAGTGCTGTGTGATCAGGTGACTGGACTTAGAGAGGATGAGTAGCAGAAACCAAGTCTGGCATGGTTTTGGGGCACCTTTGTGAGACCTTCCAAATGGAAGGGCACAGATAAGAACAGAGACAACAGGAAGGAAATATTTTCTCCCCTGCTACTTCATTTTCAGTTAGGGCTGCAAAAAGTAGAACACAAGCAAGGGATTTCTGAAGTCCATTGTTTTCCCCCAGAATCTTTGAATGTGGCGATACATTCTGCACATGGTCGTTACATACAGAAACAAAATATAAGCCTGTGTGATGTAAGGCTATCTTTCACTTTGAGGACATGATACTTATGTTAGATGTATCTTCTGAGAATAGAGATTTCCTGGAGAGAAACAACCTCTGCTAACCTGAAGATGGAGGGAAGATATCTTCATCGTATAAACACATAACATATATCCATTTTCTGTTAATCATCAGTGTGAAGAACCAGATAGTCTGATTGCAAAAATATCTGATTATAGTTGAGGCAACTCAGTTGGTGTGTTAAGACTAACATTGAAAATACAGTAATGCATTAAAGAAGAAAAGCAAGTGGTCATTTAGTTTGCACTGGTACAGAATGTCTTCCATGGAATTCCTTGTTTTTAATCAGTGGGAGAATTTAGTCCTCAGCCTAAGTCTAAAAAACAGCTTAAGTTTTAGCAGATAAGATGACAAAAGACTAAAATTCTCCAGTCCTCCATGAAAGATAGTCTGATCTGCTGTTCACAGGGTAAATACAAGTGGGATTTTTTTTTTTTTTTAAACTTTGTCTGCCATTTTGCCACCCTAGCCAAAAAAAGAAGAAAGGAAACCTATAATGATCTTGTTTCTTACTGCAGTGGTGAATCTGGAGCTGGGAAGACTGAAAGCACAAAGCTAATACTACAGTTTTTGGCAGCTGTCAGTGGCCAACATTCCTGGATAGAACAGCAAATCCTAGAGGCCAACCCCATTCTAGAAGGTGGGTTATTTAGCAAACACACTTGATTTACCATCTTTATCTCAGGATTTTCATATCAGGATAAAAAATTCAGAAACAGATCTTTGAACCATTGTATATGCATAACTGCTAAAACCCCTGAAACACTGGTGATGCAGGGTAGAAGTTCTCTATACTTTTCTGCCATGTCCCCATGAAGTCCACAGCATCTCCCACACTGTAGGAAGAGATGCCACTATAGTATGTACCCCGGAACTGCCAGGAGCACAAGAGTCCTTGGGAATGCAGAGCCCAAGGTAAAGACCCCGGTTTAGCATTTGCACTAGATAGTGGTAAAGTGACTGGCCAAGCACGGATGTATCTATAGGGGAGCTCTCTGAGACACCTATCTTTCACTGTAGAGGGATCAAATGCGTTCCCAAGTCAGTCCTTCTGGAGGTCTTCAGACTTGCCCAGCTCTCTTGGTTTGACAGATATAGGCTGCATTTGGATCATTTGAATATGTCTTTTAGGACCCAGTTATCTGGACGCACAGTTATGCCTGCCTCTTTCTTTAGGAGGCATCCTGAGACCAGACATTCTCCAGTGCTTGTCAGCACTGTCATTTGGAACAAAACATGTGAAATACTAGCAGCAAAAAAGAAGGGTATAAAAAATAGACTTTATATTCATTAACTGCAATAATCCAGATACTATCTCTGTCCCTTGCCCATCAGCTTTTGGAAATGCCAAGACAATTCGAAATGACAATTCAAGCCGCTTCGGGAAATACATTGATATTCACTTCAACCAAAATGGTGTGATAGAAGGAGCCCGGATAGAACAGTTTCTTCTGGAGAAGTCCCGGGTTTGCCGGCAGGTGAGGCCACTGGCAGATGTACATTCTGCCTGCTCCTGTGCTACAAGCTTATGCTGACAAGGCTGTCCATTGGCCTATTTCTTTCCTTTAGGCTCCAGAGGAGAGGAACTATCACATCTTCTACTGCATGCTAATGGGGATGAACACAGAGCAGAAAAAGATGCTGAATCTGGGTACTGCTTCAGAGTACACTTATCTCACTGTGGTAAGACTCTCTGCTTTCTTCTCCATTATCCCTCTGCCATTTCCTTCTCCCAGTGAGCAATTACAATCAATAGGAGCTGCAGATGGGTAGTTACCAAATATGGCCAGTCCTTTCCTTAGAGTACCAGAAGCAGTAACACCAAAAGTGCTGTGAGATTCAGTTTCAGAGACTTACTGTAATGTCCACCAGTGTGAGGCCGCTTGTGGCAGTTCAAAGCTTTCTATCAAAGTCAGACTTAAGAAACATAAAGGAGGTGGGAAATACCTCCCACTTTCAGTCTCTCAGATTTCAGCTGAATGCAAGGGATCTCATGTCAGGGAGAATACTAATCAGGTATGTATACCTTAGGGCAAAATGAATAAGCAGAAACAGTGTCAAGAATCCTAGTCCTTATATCTGATAAATCTCATCTACATAATGCAGGAAACTGGCATTCAATCTAACCTCCAACAGCAATGTTAATGTCCCTGTCTGGGTTTATGTTGCCATAGTGGCAGGAGTGGGATGTTCATAGGTGAGATTTTTTGAAAATAGCTAATTGGTTAGTTTTGGGCATGAAAGCCATTGTGAAATTTCTGTTCTTTAGCCTGTGCAGATACTTCATATTAAATATGTCAGCTGGTTTGATTTGGCCTGTTCCACAGCCATGGAAAAAATGGGGCGAAGTCCTGCCTCTGCTGAAGTTAATGGGAGCTGGGCATCTAGTTATCAAGCCTATAAAGCTGCTTCTGGAGTCTCAAAAGCAAAACCATTAAAATTGCTGGAGATTTTTTCAAATGTAATGTTTTCAAAATCTTGCAGCAACAGGTGATGAGTGCAATTCACACATTGGCCATCCTATAAAAAGGACTAAAGTTCCCTGGGTTAGCAGTAGGGCAGTATAATACAGAGACAGGAGGATTAGATTAAAGTAGAACACATCCATGGTTTTGTTCAGGTCAGCTGCTGGCACAAGCTGGCGTGTTTACATGCTGTAAACTGAAATGTCTAGGAATACTTCACTTTTGTAATCATCACACTATATTGTCAGTTATAGCAGGGATAAAAAAGGGATTTTCCCATCTCCATTAGGGCTGAAAATAGTTTCTGTCAAGAGCAGCATCCTACGACCTGCTGTGCAGGCTTTGTTGAACATTCTTCTGATGCTGCCTTGGATGCTTCCATCTGCCTTCCACTAGAACCTAATATTCTTATTTTGAGATTTGCCTTCTAGTACTGATCCAATCCTACTTGCTTCGATTTGGGATTAGGGCTTTTAATTGTCCATTGACAAGGCAGAGAGAGGAAACCAAAGAAACAGGCATGGCCTTGTAAGTGTACGTAACCTTGTCAAAGTTTCTTGTCCTTCTATGCTCCAAAACTTCTCCTCAGTTTTTCCTTTTGGTTTCCCCATTTTTCAGTCTTGCCCTGGAGAAATGCATTATTTAGCCCTCTGCTAATAGGTGCTTCTTGAGAGTAGAGATGAGGGAAGAAACAGCCATGGGAAGAGCATATAGAATGTCTAAATAGGTTTTGTGGCAAGTGGCGCACAGGGGACCCACATTGTGTATGAGGGTTTGTCAGCCTTTCTTGTATGGGTACCAGGAGGATTTTCCTTACCTGTGGGTGTGGTGTCTTGCAGGGCAACTGCGTGTCCTGCGACGGCCGGAATGATGCAAAGGATTATGCCCACATCCGCTCAGCTATGAAGATCCTCATGTTCTCAGATTCTGAGCACTGGGACATCAGCAAGCTGCTGGCTGCGATCCTGCACCTAGGGAATGTAGAGTTTGAAGGTAAACTCAGCATTGTCTGTGCTTGGCCTTTCCTCAGACTCGATGGTAAAGGTCTAAAGGTGCGACCTACTTCCATCTGTACAGATTAGGTTGCACTGTTCTGCCCTGTATAAACAGGTGAATAGGGCAGGCAGATAAGCACCATGAAATTCTGATTTATGACTCCACTGCCTAGTGTTTTGACAAACATCATCTTATTATTATTTTGTCACGCCGTCAGGTTTCCATGGTTATAAATAGACCTTTATCACACAAACTGAAACAACAGATAATATGCCATGTTACATTTACTGATTCTTGTGCTATGCAAGCCAGAGGACACAGGAGCAGCTTACTGATGTTTGCTGTGGAGATTACAGCAGTCATTCTCCTGGCTAGGCTTGGTGAACACTCACCTGCATAAGTGCACTTCTGGTATGGCACAGGCACAGGGTGAGACAACCACCAGCTGGATGACAGAAGCTCTCACATTTTAGAAAAGGACTCCTCCTCACTTTGTGACACAGAGGGCCCAATACAATGATGACAGCTGGATTCTTTGGAGTAATGCTGGCTGCTAAAATGAGGGATTTCCCACATTTCCTTGCGTTGTCTAAATTTCCCACAAGCCAGATACACAGAAAAAAATATTTCCAGAAACACATTTTCTGAAGTCAGATACTACTTCCTCAGATCCCCAATAGCTACTATTTAAAATAAATAACCTTGTCAGTTTTGCTGTTATTTTTAGCCTGATGTTCTGGAGTTGTGAGAGCCCCTTACATCTGAGGATCCCTGGGTGAAATCAGGACTGTCCTTAGTGAAATCATCAAACAGGGGAGTTTCAAAAGAGAACTTACTGCCTTGCCACATTCCCAGAGCTTCGGGGTTACAGAAATACAGCTGCAATAACAGCGCAGCCCCCCACCATAGCAGAAATGATTCACCCTGAGATTGACTGTTTCCTCATTGTAGCGGCTGTGTACGACAACTTGGATTGCTCTGATGTGATGGACTCGCCACACTTTTCAATCGCAACCAAACTGCTCGAGGTAATGGACTCTCATCTTCTCCTACTAGTTCTCTCCTTCACCCTTGCTCCCTGAGCACACTGCCAAAGCATGTCTCAGTGGAGTGTTTATGTATGGATGCACATATAATGGGCATGTCCCCTTCTACCTGCTGCCACTCCAGTGATGCTGTTGCAGATGTCTCTCTGAGCTCATAGATCTTTAACTGGGACAGCAGGCCACCAGTGAATGCTGCTGGACAGGCAGTTTGTCATGGCCCTCTTCCTGAGACAGACTTTGCTGAATCTCCTTTATCCACCTGGAATGACCAGGTTGCCATGACTGTTCCTCCAGGTGGACTCCAGTGAACTCCAGAACAGCCTCACAAACCTCTCCATCATTGTCCGAGGAGAAAGTGTGTCCAGGCCTCTGAACATAGTTCAAGCCGCAGATGGGAGGGATGCCTTTGTGAAGGTACTGGTGCTTACATCTTCTCTATTTAAAGACTGGGGATGCTTTCAGAGCTGTCTGTCTTACTGGTTGAGGAGCCTTATGTGGCAAACATTCACCCAGAGGGCTCTGGCCCCTCGTAGTTTTCAGGCATAGTATGATAGCATCGTAGCAGCACAATAGCAAGCAGTAACCTATGTCCAAAGACTGTAATGATGGGCTCTAATTTCTCTTTAATTTTTTTCTCAGGGTATATATGGACGGATTTTCCTGTGGATAGTGAACAAGATCAACTCAGCCATTTTCAACCCAGCTTCTCAGAAGTCTAAAGACAGACGTCAGTCCATTGGGCTGTTGGACATTTTTGGGTTTGAAAACTTCAACAACAACAGGTAGGAGGCTCTAGATTCATTTCCACTGGGAAGCTGAAAAGCAGCTGATGTAAAGGGAAAGAATGAAAAAACAAAAAGACACATGTTCTTTCATTATCATCCTGATTCTCAGAAAAGCAGTGAAATTTCCATCATTGAATTTTCCCAATGATGATCATACACATATTCCATTTTTCTTCAGTCTTGGCTCATATTTCTGCCTTCTCTCCCAACCTTCATTTTGGTGCAGCCATTGCACATGTCTATTCCAAAACCTCAGGGATTTTCTCAGAGAAGATGGTTATGAAGCTGCTATGAGCAGACAGCCACTATGTGAGGATGTAGTACGTCCCCATGTCTCAGCACCAAACTTTCTTTTTCCATAGCATTTTTTACAATGTCTCTCGGGATACATTTTGCATATAATACAAAGGAGGCTGTGTTGTGTTTCCCATTTCAGCTCATACTTCCATCTTGCTCAGTGTTCTTCCGTCCCTTTTTTGGGGCTGCTTCATTTCTCTACTCTTAAGGACAGGTCAGCAAAATACCTAATCAGTATACCATTGTCCCACTGCTATCTTTCCTACCTGTGGTTTCAGTCCCAAAGCACCATTTCTGTTTGCCCTTCTCTATGGGGGCAGCAATTCTCTCAGTTGTATGGTACCATACCATCAGTAGTCCACAAACCATCGGCACATATTCTGCAGTCTTTTCTAATCTATTACAACTGATGCATTTTGCTTGCTTTCAGCAAGATCATATTCCTCAATGACTTTTGGAACATGATCTAGGATCTGTTCAGCCCATCTTCTATCTTTTGTGTTCTCTCCTATTATTTTATGTTATTCTCAAAAGCTGCAATCCATATGGGGCCTCACTGTGGTGAGCACTCCACAGGCACCCACAATGTGCCACAGCAATTACCAGGTAATAGAACTCAGGTGCAGCATTAAGGAGTAACTAACAAAAGAAGTGGTAGTACAAGTAAAAACACGTCACACACTCATACACTCAAGCTTTTTTCACAGTTATATGTTCCACTTTATCTCCAGTTTCTTGAAACACATAGAAGATCTTTCCTTGCTTACTCAGCAACACTCAATTGTCAGTTGGCTCATTTCTGCTTATCTTTATCATTGCAGAGGATGCATTCTTATGCTGCTAAAATTGGCAACATGCAGTGGTGGTGATCATTAACACTGCGGAATATAGGAATAGTATATCTGGATATGTATTTAAGACAGAGAATAAACAAATACCATAGAGCAATGCGGCACTGGCCAAGGATGACCATGGGTTCCCATCTTGTATTCCCCCAGCTTTGAGCAGCTCTGCATTAACATTGCGAATGAGCACCTTCAGCAGTTCTTCGTGCACCATGTCTTCAAGCTGGAGCAAGCGGAATACCATGCAGAGCACATTGTCTGGAATAACATTGACTTCACTGATAACCGCCAGGCTCTGGAAGTCATCGCGCTCAAGCCTATGAATATCATCTCCCTCATTGATGAAGAGAGCAAGTTCCCAAAGGTAAATTTCTGGTTTCACTTGTAATGCCTGGCTTTGCACACAGCTCACAGACAACGCTTGGCTTTACACACAGAAAAGTGCAAAAGTGGCTTTCGGATACATTATGAGAGGCAATGTCTTCTCCCCATAGATGTTTCTTTTAAAATAGCTCACTATACAAATGCTTCACTCTGCTGGAATGTGCTCTTCCTGGTATCTCACTGTTGAAACTCTTGGAGCTGTTCCAGGCAGAGAAGGAAGAAGCCCAGATCATTTTACAAGGGCTTCTTAGGAAATCTTTGAATTCACATATTCTTTGAGTATTGTTTGCTGTTGGTCTGAGCTGCAGCTTGCTCTTTCTTCTCCTGGATGACAGACCTAGTTGAGCAATGTCACCATTGTGAGGAACTGTAGGGGAACTACAGCCCTGTCAGCCTGACCTTGGTGCCAGAGAAAGTTATGGAGCAGATCATCTTGAGTGCCACCACATGGCACGTACAGGACAACCAGGCGACCAGGCCCAGCCAGCGTGGGTTCATGAAAGGCAGGTCCTGCTTGACTGACCTGATCTCCTTCTATGACAAGGTGATCCACTTAGTGGATGAGGGAAAGGCTGTGGATACTGTCTCCCTAGACTTTAGTAAAGCCTTTGACACCATTTCCCACATCATTCTCCTGGAGAAACTGGCTGCTCATGGCTTGCATGGGCGTAATCTTCACTGGGTGAAAAACTGGCTGGATGGCTGGGCCCAAAGGGTGGTGGTGAATGGAGTTAAATCAGTTGGTGGCCGATCCCAACTGGTGTTCCCCAGGGCTCAGTATTGGGGCCCGTTCTGTTTAATATCTTTATTAATGATCTGGATGAGAGGTTTGAGTGCACTCTCAGTAATTTTGCAGACGACACCAAGTTGGGCGGGAGTGCTGATCTGCTTGAGGGCAGGAAGGCTCTGCAGAGGGATCTGGACAGGCTCGATCCATAGGCCGAGGCTGATTGTATGAGGTTCAACAAGGCCAAGTGCCAGGTCCTGCACTTGGGTCACAACAACC